CCCATCAAAAAGGAGAATTACAGACCAATATCCTTGATGAACATGGATGCAAAAATTCTCACCAAAATACTAGCCAATAGGATCCAACAGTACATTAAAAGGATTATTCACCACGACCAAGTGGGATTTATCCCTGGGCTGCAAGGTTGGTTCAACATCTGCAAATCAATGTGATACAATACAAAAAAAAAAGAACAAAAACCGTATGATCCTCTCAACAGATGCAGAAAAAGCATTTGACAAAGTACAGCATCCTTTCTTGATCAAAACTCTTCACAGTATAAGGATAGAGAGTACATACCTCAATATCATAAAAGCCACCTATGAAAAACCCACAGCAAATATTCTCAATGGGGAAAAACAGAGCTTTTCCCCTAAGGTCAGGAACACGGCAGGGATGTCCACTCTCACCACTACTATTCAACATAGTACTAGAAGTCCTAGCCACAGCAATCAGACAACAAAAAGAAAGAAAAGGCATCCAAATTGGCAAAGAAGTAAAACTCTCACTCTTCGCAGGTGACATGATACTCTATGTGGAAAACCCAAAAGACTCCACCCCAAAATTGCTAGAACTCATACAGGAATTCAGCAAAGTGGCAGAATATAAAATCAATGCACAGAAATCAGTTGCATTTCTATACACCAACAAGGCAGAAGAAAGGGAATTTAAGGAGTCAATCCCATTTACAATTGCACCCAAAACCATAAGATACCATAAAATATCTAACCAACGAGGCAAAAAATCTGTACTCAGAAAACTCCAGAATACTCATGAAAGAAATTGAGGATGACACAAAGAAATGGAAAAACGTTCCATGCTCACGGATAGGTAGAACAAATGTGAAAATCTCTATGCCACCTAGAGCAATCTACGTATTTAATGCTATCTTTGTTAAAATATCATCAACTTTTTTCACAGAAATGGAACAAATAATCCTAAAATTTGTATGGAACCAGAAAAGACCCCAAATAGCCAAAGGAATGTTGAATATTAAAAGCAAAGCTGGTGGCATCAGAATTCCGGACTTCAAGCTCTATTACAAAGCTGTCATCATCAAGACAGTATGGTATTGGCACAAAAACAGACACATAGATCAGTGGAAAAGAACAGAGAGCCCGGAAATGGACCCTCAACTCTATGGTCAACTAATCTTCAACAAAGCAGGAAACAATGTCCAATGGAAAAAAGACAGTCTCTTCAACAAATGGTGTTGGGAAAATTGGACAGCCACATTGCAGAAGAATGAAACTGGACCATTTCCTTACACCACACACAAAAATAGACTCAAAATGGATGAAAGACCTAAATGTGAGACAGGAATCTATCAAAACCCTCGAGGAGAACACAGGCAGCAACCTCTTCAACCTCAGCCGCAGCAACTTCCTCCTAGAAACATCGCCAAAGGCAAGGGAAGCAAGGGCAAAAATGAACTACTGGGACTTCATCAAGATAAAAAGCTTTTGCACAGCAAAGGAAATAGTCAACAAAACCAAAAGACAACCCACAGAATGGGAGAAGATATTTGCAAATGACATATCAGATAAAGGGCTAGTATCCAAAATCTATAAAGAACTTATCAAATTCAACACCCAAAGAACAAATAATCCGATCAAGAAATAGGCAGAAGAGGGCGCCTGGGTGGCTCAGTCAGTAAGCGTCTGCCTTCGGCTCAGGTCATGATCCCAGGGTCCTGGGATCAAGCCCCACATCAGGCTCCCTGCTCAGCGGGGAGCCTGCTTCTCCCTCTCCCACTCCCCCTGCTTATGTTCCCTCTCTCGCTGTGTCTCTGTCAAATAAATAAAATCTTAAAAAAAAAAAAAAAAACGGGCAGAAGACATGAACAGACATTTCTGCAAAGAAGACATCCAAATGGCCGACACATGAAAAATCTCTCAACATCACTCAGCATCAGGGAAATACAAATCAAAACCACAATGAGATACCTCATACTAGTCAGAATGGCTAAAATTAACAAGTCAGGAAAAGACATGTTGGCGAGGATGTGGAGAAAGGGGAACCCTCCTACACTGTTGGTGGGAATGCAAGCTGGTGCAGCCACTCCGGAAAACAGTATGCAGGTTCCTCAAAAAGTTGAAAATGGAGCTACCCTATGACCCGGCATTTGCACTACTGGGTATGTACCCCAAAGATACAAATGTAGTGATCCAAAGGGGTACCTGCACCCCAGTGTTTATAGCAGCAATGTCCACAATAGCCAAACTATGGAAAGAACCTAGATGTCCATCGACAGATGAATGAAGAAAATGTGGTGTGTGTGTACACACACACACACACTGGAATATTATGCAGCCATCAAAAAATGAAATCTTGCCATGTGCAACGACATGGATAGAATTAGAGGGTATTATGCTAAGTGAAATAAGTCAATCAGAGAAAAGATAATGATCATATGATCTCGCTGATATGTAGAATTTGAGAAACAAGACAGAGGATCATGGGGGAAGAGAGGAAAAAATCAATCAGGACAAAATCACAGAGGGAGACAAACCATGAGAGACTCAATCTCAGGAAGAAAACTGAGGGTTGCTGGAGGGGAAGGAGGGTGGGAGGGATGGGGTGGCTGGGTGATGGACACTGGGGAGGGTATGTGCTATGGTGAGCGCTGTGAATTGTGTAAGACTGATGAATCACAGACCTGTACCTCTGAAACAATTATATGTTAATAAGCAATTTGGGTTAAGCTTTAACCATGAAACCAGTCCTCACCCATCATGGGAATGCTAATAAGGCACTGCCTGGGTCATAGGACACTTCACTTCTACATTTGGCTTTGCCCCTTTGATTTGGGTCTCCTTTCCCACATCTGTGAAATAATTTCCATTACCTTGGGTATCGAGTCTTTCACTTGGGCCTGTGAGCAATCTTCCGAACCACAGGAGACTTGCTTTGTGTTGCCTTTTAAAGAAAATGGGTCTTTTAGAAGCACTGCCAGCTGTAGAGACCACGGAGACCATCGTTCCAGGCGGTGGCTGTTTCTGCATTTCCACCACAGTAGGGTCTCCCTCGGGAGTCCTCTGTGGTCACGGGGCTGCAGAGGGCTCTTACAGGGTTTCCTGACTCCCAGTTCATTTTTACACTGGACTTCCAAGTTCATGCTGTTTCCTCCACAGCCTGGGGCTGCTGGCTTCCTCTGAGCTCTGACTCAGGCTAGCAGCCAGATTCTCTAATCCTCCCTCACAGAAAGGGCTGTGCAGTTCTGGACCAACTCAGGCAGGGGCCCCACCACCAGCTGCCCTCTGTCTCCCCCATGGACCTAGGGGGTGTGCTCTCAGCTCACCAACATGGCAATGGTCTCTATGTTCCTGGCACTTGAACAGATCCCTTTCATACTTTTGAGCTTAGGTATGTATTTTCAATTGTATTTTAAAAATACTTTGTCCAGTTTTGGAGAGGATTTTTGCATGTTTCCATAGTCTAAATAATCCCTATAGTCCTTAAAATCTAGGTTCCCCCATTGCTTGGGTTTTCAGAGTGAGATAGCTAATTACTGAGGTAGGAATGCTTTCTAGGCTACTCTCCACCTCAAGTGGACCAAATGACCGAGGTTCCCTTTTCTCATAAATGTATTTAAATGTTTCCTGATGCCTGGGAAGGAAAGGCTTATTAAAAGAACATCTGTAATTTTTCACCTTTTTTGGTAGAACAAACAGACCTCCTTTTAGCTAATGGGAAAAACTCTGATTCTAGAATGTCCTGGTGTCTTCTAAAGCATGTGTCAAGATCCCAGGCTCCCGTGGTGCTTACTGATGAGCATGACGCGGCAAAATCTCTGACCTGGGGATGCCACCAACCTGCCCAAACTGGGAACCTTCACTGTCGCCTCTCCTTGGCTTCCCCTCATGACTCACTGGTTCAAAGGAGCTCAGTTTTACAGGCTCCTTAACAGCCTTCCAAATTCTGCGTGCAGAATGGGGGGGTCAAGGGAATGTTCATCAGCCCTGGGGACAGCTGGATCTGCCCTGTCACTCACCCCAGAGTACCACGAGGATGGGACCATTTTCAGTGAGTGCCGATATGTGATAATGATTGAAAAAGCACTGCGCCGAGTAAACCTCTGGAAGAGTTCCAGTCTCTTCTCCAAATGACGGAATAAAATCAAGGCTTCCTCCAAGCGCACGTCCCGTTATCTTTACAAAGCTTTATTGAAACCTGTACGTCAAGGTGACAATAATTCAGTGTTTGGAAGACAGTAACGAAAAAAGGGTATCCCAGACTCAGGTTTACCAAATAAATACTGGAAACCAGGGAGCTTGTTCCTCCATCTCCCAGCAGGAACACAGGGTGTAACAATAGCTTCTGCTGACTCGGGGACAGGAACCTGTGCTAATGGGCACGTCTGCAGCATCTCCCCGGAAACCACGACGGGTGTAAAGAGGTTTGCTTTGGTCCAAAGGATGTCTTCCCGACACAAATTTAGAAGGCTGCTGTCAAGTTCTAAGTTCCTTCCAGAATAAGCAAGAGCAACTCTACCGCCTTCACTGCTAAGTGCAGACGGAGGCCCTGAGCAAGACGGCACAGGCTAGGGTAGGGCGCTTCTCTGAAGTGTTCATGGAAACACTGTCACCTCACTGCGATTAGAATAAGAAGCTGGACAACGCTCCAGCTAACAGTGGTCAGTCCTCAGGATCATCCGGCTTCATGGAGAAATCCGGCAGCGGTTTTCAGAGTCTGTTCTAAAAACAGATTATTGCTGAATACAGTTCACATGATCTATATTCTAGTTGGGGTGATTTTAAAATTGCCCTAAGACCAGAGAGTCAGCCACCTCTGGTTTAAAACAAAAGTACTTAGTGCACAGAAGCAAGAAACAATTGTAAATTTCATCTGGAAATCAGACAGGTTCTAATTTCTATAGAAATTATACCTCCCTGGAGCAGAAAACAGACCATCTTATTGCTTTGATTTCAAGAAGACTGGTACTTGCTGTTAGCTCCACAGTCAGGCCTCGACAGGGACAAGTGGGTGGCCTCACACACACATATGATTAGACATTCTGTGTGGCCTCTGTCCCTGCTTCCCAGATTTTACCAGCAAAGTGGCTAGGGTTCATTTTTGGCTTAAGAAGCATCTCCACGACCAGCTCAGAAGATGTCTGTTAAGAATTGCACCTGTCCTCATGCACTGTGGTATGGGGGCCACAGACCTGTGTCCCCTCACTCTGTTCTCAGCTCTAGTGAGCCCTGAGGCTCAAAGCCACTGGGTGCCCAGAGGACTGTTACAGACAGGAGGCGCTTCGGGAGCTGCCACGCCTGGAACAAACCTTCAAGCAGAACTATGGCGGGTATGAAATGTCTTATAGAGTGTGAAATGAAAAATTTACAGTCCATTCCCTCTAGTGGAAAGCATGCACGCGTGGAGCCTGGGGGTGCACACTGTTCCCTGGGGCCCACCGCTGGCTCCCAGCTCTTCATATGGGCTTGTATAACAAGGTGGTGACATACTTTTTCTTGTATCGGTGGGTCGCGCTGAGCACCATCACTCCATCCTGAGGAAGAGGGTGGAAATGATCAAAGGCAGGACTAAGTCAAGGGCTCAAACTTGTGTGTGTGTGTGTGTGTGTGTGTGTGTGTGTGTGTGTGTGTGTGTGTGTGAAGCATTAAGGGGGCTTAATAAAAAGAGTCCTGTTCTGCCTTCAGAACCCATCACTCCATCCTGAGGAAGAGGGTGGAAATGATCAAAGGCAGGACTAAGTCAAGGGCTCAAACGTGTGTGTGTGTGTGTGTGTGTGTGTGTGTGCGCGTGCGTGCGTGTGTGTGTGTGTGAAGCATTAAGGGGGCTTAATAAAAAGAGTCCTGTTCTGCCTTCAGAACCAGAGCCTGCGGGTATGCATAAGGTCCCAGAAGCTGCCCTTTAGGTAAGTACTCCAGGTAGTTCTGTGGCTAGGGGGCCCCAGAGCATACTTTGAGAAACACAGCTTAATCAGCAACAAACATGTCATTACCTTGATAGAGAGCGCGTAAAGGTGGTTCAACATGACGTGGTTGGGCTCAGGGAGCAAAGCTGGATCACACTGTGGGGGGAACAAAAGCAGATGGTGAGCATTTAGGATTTGGAAATGAAGAAGGTTCTCCCTTTATTCTGCAGCAGTGGGTATCAACAGGAAAGAGGCCGGCTCTCATGCCCCTTTCTGCTTAAGCTGGGCAGTGAAAGGCTCGTCTAAGACGACAGGTGAGGTGACGGGGGTCATGCCTCATGCTCCAACTAAGGGGAGCTCCCTGCGTGCCTGCTGGATGCACGGGTATGTGTCTTGGTCAGGCTTTACCCTGGCCTCTGAAGTGTGAACCGTGGCTCTGTCCTCTTACAGAAAGGGAAGCAGGAAGAAAGAGCTGTCAACCGAGTGCACTTTTAGAGAAAGCAGCAAGATAAATCTATACTAAACATTCCTGAGCAGTGGACTGCAGGCTCATGTCTATACTCAGGGAGCATGATGAAATGGATGGGGGGGCGGCATGGCACCTGGTGCCTGGAGAACAGCGAGTCCCCAGGGAATGAGCCATGACTGCTATGGGGGGATGCCCGCACATGCCTGCATTCAGCTCTTCAGCTCAGCACAGGTGTAGCTGCTTGTATGTGGAGTCCAGAGCAGCGGCATGGTTACTTTATCACCTCATAAACATGTGAATTTTAGGGGGTAGCTTGAACAAAGCACAGGACAGCCAGATTCCTCAGAATTAGGGCCATGCTATGCAGATCTACTTAAACAGAACGGAAAATTAGCAAGGTAATAATGGGGTGCTCTTCATGATCCAGGAGGATTACACTTCTTTTTACAAATAATATCAATTTCTCAGAGAAAATGTGTGTTACCCAGATTCCCCAAATTTGGATCCAGGAGCACTGATGTTTCTGAAAGCAATTTGGTGATTTAGATTAGATTCTAAAACATGGGGGCCAGAAGAGGAATTCCATTTGGTAGTTTACTGAGAAGGGGTGGCTATATACTTCATCATGATTTATAAGGAATGAGGCTGAGGTAGGAGTGAAACACAAGGAAGACAAGTTCAGAAAGGCTCTGTGTGATGGGAGAGCAGCACCCACACTCGGGGAACATCTTGCTCGCAGCCCATTCCCACAGTGGAGGGGGACCCTGGCAGGTGGCAGTTAACACCGATGGGCAACCCAAAACCTTTTACCAACTGCTTTCTGAGATGGTCAGAAAGGGGAGCCTTGGAACATGACCACAGAGGATGGTCCTGGCAGATGTCTGTGTACTCACAGAAATCCCCGTGTCCTTGTTCAGGATGACCTGGAGCAGATGTGGAGGGAGAATGGGTGGGGCTTTAAACCGTTCTTCTGGTTTTGAGACATAGGGCTCCTGATGGTAGGGTCCCGGTGGGGAGCTGGACAGCTCTGTTGGGAGATGGTGACAGGACATTTACATTGAAAATTATGAGTTTGAGGAGCAGTCTCGTTGAATTTGTGGCATCATCTAGTTTTCCTTGTCCCCTCAATAAAGATTTATATTCCCTTGAAGAACATACAGGCCCCAAGGGTGAAGAGTAGAGGCAATGAGAAAACCCTCTGGAATTTGGGTGACTGGCACAAAATTCAGCAGCCAGCTCAGATGCCCCAGCAGCAGACAACGGTGGTGGTGAAGCTGGTAATTCCCGGTCAGACTAACAAGGAAGCAGCTCACAGTAACCTAACCCCACCTGCCCCTGCAGAACAACGCTTCTCGCCTTGGGCTGGGCTGGCAAATACCGCAAAGAAGCTCAGGGCTTCAAGTGAGGCTTCAGCAGCCAAGCTTAAGGTGTGAGCACCACCAGCCAGAATAAAACAGAAGATAAAGCAGCCTGTGGATACAGACACGGTGCCAAAAACAGGTTACAGGAGGCACTGGCACATTTCAAAACTAAAACCAAAAATAAAAAATTGAAACCCTGATCTCTACAGGTTCAACCCTGACTCTACCACTCTGAGCTTCCTTTCAAACTCTTGCTTGAGTGTCTTGATTACACAGATATATCAAGAAGCTTCTAGAAGGGCAGTGTTTCATCAGGTTAGAGGCGGCTCACTTAGCAATGTTGGGCCAGCTGGAAGGGACTGAGCGGTTATTCAAAGGACACCTGGGCCGGCTTCTGGTTGCCTGATCCTGGGAGGCATCCAGAATAAATGTGATGTGCTCTCACTCTGCCAGTTCCCTTGATGTCATTTTCTAGGGTACAGGCTCCCTTCACACGACCCAACCATATGACAGCAGGAAACTGAGAAAAGCACTAAGTGCAGAAAACTGAGCCATTGGGAGTAAAGATGTATTTTAAGAAAGTGAGTATCTAAATATGAAGTCTATGCAGAGCCTGATGTTGGTTTACTGGCAGTGAGGGGTCAGTTTTCTTTCCCCAGGTGGTCTATGCTGCAGAAACTTGACTAAAAGCTTTGGTAAGTGGTCTAAAATTACATTTATCAGTAAGTAAGGGATACTGGGGCATTTTCTTCATTCCCCAATTCCCACCTACTAAGAAAGAAAGAAATGACTTCTCGAAAAGATTAGTTAGCTAGCTATCCAGAGGGAACACTATTTTTGGATTTCCAATTCCTGCTCAACAAGCTGGCTTTTCAGCCACAGCAAGCCCACCATGGTCAATTTACCACTGTGGTTTCCGAACTGATAAGAGATCCTGGTGGCAGAAGCTCTAGGCCCAGCCAGGTAACAATGAAGAATCATCCTGTAA